AAAGTTGCCATTTTCAGAGTTTTCATTTTTGTAAGAGTAAACAAGGTCCTGCGGAACTTCTGCAAATTTGGCTTGTCCTGCTTAAGGTTCCGGTGAAGTGAAAATATCGAAAAGAAAATAAAATGTTCAGGAAATCCTACCGCTCATCCCACTGCCTCTATCTCGCTCTTCTTGCTTTCTTCGACATCTTCATAGCGGGTGCCTACATTCCGTTAATGAGCTTAAACCTGGTTGTGGACTATTTTCGTTCGGTTGTATTGCTGCGAGCATGGTAAGCGACCCTGTACGGCTAATTTTATAGGTCCACAGCTCTAGTTACTGTTTTGCAGGTTCACATATATGATACCAATGATAACCGTATCACACATCGCTATGACTGCGTCGTCATTTCTGATGGTTGCTGCAAGCTTTGAACGATACTGTGTCACAGTACATCCTCAATGCACAAAATTTCTCAATCGAAACAGGTAAATCATTTCTGGTTAAAATCGTTAGCTTAGCGCTTTTCAGTCTCTTGAAAGAATTTCAAATTGGGCTCGGCTAGCATCATCATCGCATTGATTTTAGAAATGAGATACAAATTGTCAAATGTTAAATTAGTGGATAATTAAGAATTGAATATCAGTTCGCAGGTTTCTATAGGGTTGGCTGATAAATAATGCGTCGCTTTTGAAGCTCTTACAAGTTACAGACAATTTTTTGCCCAGTTTCCAATCTCTGGGAAGAGAATTTCATTGAGAATTGGGATATGAATTTCGTCTGAGTAGAATTTTTCCCAAGGAAATAATCGCAAAGAAATGAGAAACCGCAACTTTCTCATTGTGCACAAATACGAAAAAATAGGTTTTTCGGTTAAAAAATACCAAATTACTATTGGGGGCATAACTGTCCCAACAAGACTCCTAACTGTAGAGAATAAAAAATCCTGATAGCTTAGATGTGATGGAAGAATCTTTAATTTGCTTACTCAAAATGAAAGTCTTAGTTAACACATGCATAAAAATAACCAGAAAAAAGTTTTTATGAAGAACATGCCAAATCCAAATTATTCTTTAACCAACTTGATAGAATGATTTCGTAGAAAAAAAAACTCGATCGATCTAGAGGCTGCAAAGTCACAAAGTAAAAATCTTATACAGCAGTACTCCAGGAAAATTACATATTTCTACGTTCCGAAATCTCATCCTGCATCTTCTTTTCAGGAACCGCATAGCAGCTGCTGCCGTGTTTCTCGGTGTAGCCACAAAATGCACCCACCCTTTTGAGTTTGAGGTCAGTGATTTTATCAAATATAAACAATGGAGAAGACTAACTGATTCATTCGATACGTTGACGACCGAGCTGTTTTGGGCGAAACTCCCCACTAACGTTTGCATCTGGCCCGTGTATACGCGCGTACGCAGAATAACCATTACGTGCAAGTCTTTTAGGCGCATATTCATGAAACAAGAAATTTTGCTCAGAATTACATGTGTATCTCACTATGTCACACGAGGAATTACACATCGGAAGACTTTTGCATTACT